GCTCGCGATCGAAACCGTCGGCCGCCGCCTGCGATTACAAAAAAATCATTATTATCTTATTAGTAGTAACGACGTCACGACACATAAAAACCATCGAAATGACTGTTTACAGATCGTTCACTGCCCACGGAAGCGATAAAAAAACCAAAAAAAAAAAAACACATCGGTACCGGGGATACGCTTCGGACAAATACGCGTGCTTACCGTTCGACGTCGTAAACGCAATTACACGTTGTTGGGAGCCGAAGATTTTTAAGGGGAAACCCGCGGTGTCGCCCCTGGCCCTCGGCCGGCAATAATAGTGGCCGAGGTGAAAAAAACCCTACGCGCAAGGGTGGAACGGGGACAGCTGCAAATTACGCGCCGCGGAATGCTATCTGTCGGCGCGGCGCGACGGGCCCGTTTGTATTGCATCGGTTTTACGTAATGTTTCGCGGGACCGGCGATCGCAGTGCGTGAACGACGGTTGTCGCGCGAAACGCGGTCGTGCACGTACGCAGCTGTTGTTTCTGAACCGTAGCCGTTCGCGAGCGGTACGATGGACCGAAATTATCAGGTTTTCGTTTATACATGCTGTGTGTATTCGCGTACGTTATCCGAACATCGGGATCGCGCGAAATTTTCCAAGGACCGAACTCAACCATCCGGTTTACAAAAAAAAAAAATCAACGTCACGGAAAACATACCGAAGTGTAATTAAAAATTACCTGTAGGATACTTCGATCGCAAACAAAAACACCTTTTTATTTACCATTTCATTTCTATTCACATTTTTGTTTGATTAAAATTACGAGCTGTACGGAGCGGAAGTACCGAATCGTACACGAAATATACGGTTGTAGGACACGAACGGTCGATAGATAAAAAATTCAAAATCGCGGACAGTTAGTACCATTACACATTACACTATCATGGGCGGTGAAAAAATGTTTACCGCCGAAAGTTTGTGTATTCAGCAGATATAGTATCGAAACATTTTATTTATCATACTATTATATTTACGCTTCAGACAAAATGTATAAAATCAACCGGATTAATAGTTGGGTAGTAGTACATCCGCGTGTAGACAGTTAACATCGAGATTTTTACAAATCGACGGTGAATTATTAAAACGATTGAAAAGAGCGGCAAATACTTTCGATAACCATATCTATTTTTCTTGTACATTCCGGTCGTAACTAGGTCATTTCATAAAATTAACTCGCGCGTCTAACCAAATCTGTTTGGGTCGATTAAAACAGTGTCGATCACTATCATCGAAGTATCCGCGATAAATATTGTGACCGTTAGCACTGGGGTATGTTGCGCAGTTTTATTATTTTTTTCTTTCGAATTTTCACCGCATACGTTTTAATATTATTTATGCGGTTTAGCGATACGGGAAATGTTATTTTTTCCCGCTCGGAGATTCGAAAAATCACTGAAACGAATGAACGTGTGCATAAACAGAGCTGCGACAACGTGTACGTATTTCTCCGCTATACGATCGCGTATCGTATCAAACGTTGCAGTAGATTACACACGAATTCGGTAGCATTCGAACGCGTATTATTATTATTATTTTTTGTTGTGTATCCTCGACCCACACCGATACGTGCCGTGCTGCGTTCCGCGTACGGCGGCGAACCGTGTTGTCCCCGGCGGTGGCGGCCCGAAAAGAACCGCGCGCGACAGCTGACCTACCCGTCCAATAAAATACTATATTTTACGGCCGCCCGTCCTTTTGTATGTGCACGAGCGGACGGACGCGCGTGCACGTATCGCCTCCCAACACTCGGACACAATGTAACGCGTATACGTACGCCCGTGTACGCTACACATTATAAAGCGGCACGTAGTGTACTACGGGGCTCATAAGAGGAAAAAAAAAAAAGAGAAGAAAAAAGGTTCTCGTATATTATCATCATTACGCACGTCGAGTTTGTTTTGAAACCGTCCGTGTGCACCTACCGTATTTGTGTTCGAAATTTCTTTATAAGGATAAAAAAAAAAAAAAAAAAAAAAACATTACGCTTTTACGAATCTTAAAAACGATTACGGCGGACGGGCATTTGTGAGCCGGAACACACGTCCCGGAGCGATAAACGGCGTAGTGTCGCGATAGAGGCGCGAACCTAAGCGTACGAATTTTTTAATATTTTTTTTTATTATTTCTTCCCTCTAAACTTATCCCGTTATTAATACGAATCGCCTAACACGCGGAGACAATAAACATGAAACACGTACCTGATGGCGGGTACGGCGTCGACGTGACTGGATCGTGCGAGCCGCCGTAGTTCCTGAGCGAAGGCGGCGGCGGCGGAGGCGGCGGCGGGTACGCGTTGTCGTGCCCGAACGGACCGGCGGCCGATCCGTCGGCCGAGCCGGACGTCATCCGCGACGAGTTGTTGCCGCCCCGGTCGTCGCCGGGGCTGCCGGTCTGCAGGTACGCCGGTTGCGGCGTGTCGGCCGGCCCGCCTCCGGATGAGTGTCGCGACGCGGACGCGGCGGCCGCGGCGGCTGCTGCCGCGGCCGCGGCCACGGACGACGAGGACGACGACGACGTGGTAGTGGTGTACGGCGAGTAGTTGGTGCACCAGGACTGCGAGAACTGGTGATGGTGGTCGGCGGCGCCCGGCGGCCCGGCGGAACTGCTGCACGGCGTCACGCCGTTGGTGTACTTGCTGGCCAGACCGCCGCCGTTGCCGCCACCGCCGCCGCAATAGTCGGTGGCAGCGGGCGACCAGAACGGAAGGCCGGTCGGCGGTTTGCGACCGCCGCCGTCCATGACGGGCGACCGGTGATGATGATGATGGTGATGATGATGACCACCGCTGCCCGTGTCCGCGGCCAGGTTGTAGTATGTCGGCGCGGCCGGCTGATGGTGATGGTGGTGATGAGGTGGCGCGTACTGGTCGAACGCTGCGTGGTCGACTACGGCGGGCGAGTAAGCGTTCCACTGGTGATGCGAGTGCCTGATGACGCCCGCCGAACCTGCGGCGGTGTCCATGCACTCGTAGCCGCCGCCACCGCCGATGCCGCCGCCGCCGCCGCCGCTGCCGCCGCCGCCGCCGATTGAATGCGCTTGCAACCGTTTAGCCGGTATGTGCAGCAGCGGTGGCGGTTGCGGCGGAGGAGTGCCGCCGGACGAAGTGATCGGCGTGGACGACGGCGAGGTCTTAATCACCGCCGGTGCGGCGCGCGATATGTCCGACGACGACGGCGGCGGAAGCGGCACGGTCGGCGGCGGCGGTGCCGGCGGGCTGTCCTCGTACAGGCCGCCGTTCATCATCGTCCACCAACTCAGCCCGGGTCCGGCTGTCGGGGTCGGGCACCCTGCTCCGGTGGTAACATCGTGTTCACCGCCACCGTACAGCGTACCGACGGCAGCGTCCCCGAGGTCGCCGATGATGATAATTGTTGTGGTTTCGGACGGGGTTAGGTGTGAAACGGCCGGTCACGCGCGCGGGTGTTGCCGGTGATGGTTTGCGACGTCGGCGGAGTGTGCGTGTGTCGGCGGCGTTGACGACGACGACGACGACGGATCGCAACGTGCAGGCGGTGCAACAGAACACAAGAAGACAAGTCCAGATCAGTTTAGAGTTATGAAAATTGTATCATGCTTATGTATATTATTTATATGAATCCGCTCCGTCGCGTAGGACGAAGTCGAAAAAGCGCGCGCGCGCACTAGTAACAATGGTTTCGAGACGTGCTCATACGTGTACGGGAAGCGGTCTCGGGTAAAAAAAATAAAAAAAAAATAAAATTGAATAAAAAACACAAACAAAAACGGTATTAAAAAAAAAAAAAACTAAAAAAATTAAACCGTCGGACGGGAGAAAAAAAAAATAAAATTATTAACAGATAAAACGACGCGAATGGTTTTCAGCGGGCGAAACGTAATAAAAAAAAATTCCGAAAACCCTCGGCGGGCGACCGTGTTATGTCACGGTGTTCGCGGCGGAAACTTTGAAAAAAAAAAAAAAATAAATAAAAAAAAATACCGATCCCGAACTATCGGCCGCGGACGAGACGGCGACGCGCGCGGCGTGTGGTTGTGGGTCCGAAGTTTCGTACGCGCGGTGCACGAGAGCGGACTGACGTGAGAAGTGACGACCGCCGATGACGGGTGACGACACACCGCGCCCGACGGCTCACAAACGGGCCGACGCGAGCGCGTTGTTGTTGTTGGTGTTCCGCCGCGGCGCGTACGTCGGTGTCTCGGGTGCGTGCGCGTGTGCGAGAGTGCCGTTCGCGTACGACTCGGGGCCGCGCGCGCACGCGTGCTCCAACACCCTCTCTCCACGCGGCCGGACGGTGCGCGCAGCGCGGACCGGCGGACCGTCGCCGAACCACGCGGTTTCGGCCGCCGGCGCTTTCGGTGGCGCTGCTCTCCGGGGCTCGGCGCACGGTACCCCTCCGGCGGCGGCTAGACGTCGGAACGCCGTACGCACCGTACGTAGTGGCCGCACGCACACCTCACGGGTCGGTCCACCCTCCTTCTCCTCCTCCTCCTCCTCCTCCTCCTCCTCCTCCTCCTCATCCTCCTCATCCTCCTCCCCAACACCCACCCCGAAAAAAATTGGGCGGTTACAAAATATTTGCAATTTTCTAAATGTCATTTCGATTTCGAACGCGTGAAACTTGATCGGACCTAGGGCTCGTGCCTTGAGTTTCACTACATCAAGCTCCAAAATTACCTTCATTGGAGTTGCTTCGCTAATGTTTATCGGTAACCGGTGGGTGGTCGGTATCAATACAATGTGTTCGACCCTTGTCGGTAAAAATTAGTGTGCGCCACCGTAACGTTTCGCCCCCCGTGCAACGTTTGATATTGTTGCTGTTATTACCGTTATGTTTTCATGCCCCGTCCGCCCGTCACGCCAAAGGCGCCTTTCCGGCGTCGGCGGCTCGACGTTACGATAGTATTAATGTTGCCGAGAAACTTTTCCGTTCGGTTTCCCCTCAAGACTTACACATTATGCGTCTACACCCCTAGTGATGGGCGTCTTCGAGGTGCTCCTTTTTTCCAGAGGACACTGTTAAGTTCCGGTTCTTAAGTTAAGCTAGACGCCACACCGCGCACGCACATGGCTTTGGAATTTCCGACATAATATGGCGTGGAGTGATTTATCCGGGGTAACGGTGTGCCGTGATCTTTCGATCGGAAGTGCACAACAAAAAATGATAAACAAGTTCGTACTTAAGTTACTCGTAACTAATAATGTCTTCGTCAGTGTTCGACGAGAATTGATTACGTATAACAAAACTTTTTACGGGCGCGAAATCGTTATTTTTTTGGATTAAAAAAATCTTGCAGTAAATCGTGCTGCAACTTCCGTATATATAAATTTTTTAATCGATATCGATTACACTCGTAAAAATGGTAACTATTTCCAATTAAATCCGTCCGGTTCCAGGTGGAATTAACGAATCGAATGTATACACATTGTTAGTATAAATACCAATGATAATGGACCTTGAAAATCGAATTCGTTCGAGATTCGTCGACGCGTCTTATTTTACAGCATACACCTTGCAATGTTCCTAACGCGAAACATCAATTAAAAAAAAAAACCCCGATATAAATCGACTTATCACGTGTACAACCTGTGCTCACATGTACAACGTTTATAGTCGAAAAATGTCGGACTGCTCGGAGTTCGCGGATTTCGTAGTTATACGCAGTGTGTAACGAATAGGTACCGTTGACAAATCCGCATTCCATCGGAGTTTCGATTAACCGGCTGCTCATCGACAACAGTATTTTTATATTATTCGTCACGTTACTGAACATTTGGACGACTTACTTATATATTATAATCATGTGTACACGACAGCGTAGGGCTGTTAGATAAACCGCTGCGCGCCGATACATATTAATCCTTCTTCAAAAACACAGCTGTATCTTTATTGCGTATACGTATACGTTAACACGGAAAACCATTACGGACAGTCCATTGGCAATATAAACTAATGTCATGACCTCAACCCTTTTCAGAGTTCACGAAAGATAACCACGTGCGCAACCTATTCAGTACATTCGTGCATGTTATAGGTACCTATATATATATATATATATATATATATATATATATATATACACATTTAAACATTTTTTATTAATATTTATAAAAATCTGCCGGGTGGTTGTAACGGTCCCCGGCGATGGACTGGCGTTAACAACATTCGATTCGAATGTATAACGAGACTGTAACTGCACAGATCTATTACGATTGTACAGTTATATTCTATAGAATAATGTCGCGCTAACGAAAACATAGCTCGTTGCAGATTAATCATACAGATTCGTATACCAATAGTCGGCACGACCGTAAAACGATTATACTAGGATGAAGAAAAAGAAACGGCGAGAAGGAAATCGCCCGTGAAAAGACCGCGGATGCAGCCGTCGTCGTTATACGGGCGCAACGCGTGCGCGTTAAAGTAGCCGTAGATAATATATATAATTCGTATGGAACACAATACGTACGGTTTGTCCTCGCGGCGCAGGTAAATAAAATAATATCGACAATAATAGGCGCACGTATACCATAATACATGCGACATAGTACGGTTTGCATGCGCATACACACATACGGCGAACATTGTAGCGAGACAAATTATTTATTATTATCGTTTCGAGGGAGTCCCTCCCTCCCCCGGGGGCCACGACAAAAGCCGTGTTGACTCTCGAAACGGGCGACGGAAACGCGTGCATATACATGCTCGTATTACATAAATCATTCAGCGAAGCATGCCTGTACAACGCTGCAGTGTTGTGCGTACGGATACATTTATGTATGGGAGATTTTTAGTCACGGACCCTCGACGAAACGTCAAATAAACCGTACAAGCGCGCGCGAGAGAAAAGAGTAGGCACGTAAAAAAAAAAAAAAGAAAGAAAACGTGCAGTATAAACGTGAAGAACACGGGTCGCACGTATTCACGCGGACGTCGCGAAAAATGGGGGAAAGAACGACTTATTATATTATAATCGGTGAGATGGAAAATTGCATTGTACGCGTCTACTATAGCCGTAGCAGCCGTACAATAACGTGTATATATATATATATATATATAAAGAAAATCACCGCGGCGACGTATAAAAATTTATGCTTTGAGCCTGCAGTATTATTATAGAGGGTTCGCCGGCGGATTCAATTTGTAAGTGCGCGTATACGTATACGTACCGTATATATACGCGCACGCAGATATTTGTGGGAAGGGGGGGGGGGGGCGAACGACGGCGCTGTCAGAGTTATTTTTTTACGACGGAAAACAAACGACCGAATATAATGTGTATGTGTATCGGGCGTTCTCGAGAGAGGAGGGCGTGTAAAAAGAGAAGACCTCTCTCTAAACAACGGTTTTCGAGGGAAAAATTGTAAAACACAAACGTTCCTCGGTCGGCGTACAACGGTTGGTGGTAGGTCTCCACGTCCTGTCCACAGGCGTACGAGCAGACGAAACGAATAGGAATTTCTGTGCACGGTGCGCAGGAATAAAGATGTCCTCGATATATTATGCTGTCCGTATGATGATTATACGTTATACATTGAGATGTCATCGTTCCGCGGTGCACCTGCGGAGCCGCACTACATTACACGCGAACGGGCACCTAACCGTCCGGCGACGACGACGATGATAATAATAATTGGTCGGAGAACCTGCTCGTACGGGAAGCACGTGAAATAATGGTGTACGATATAATTTATACGTGTTCGCCGCTCCGCTGGCTGTCGACCGTCCGCGATACACGTGGACATATTTTTATTATACGTACACTGTTATAGATCTCAATCGGTTCGACCGGTCGGCGGCGGCGGCGGCGGCGGCGGCCATCTTTGTGCGCGCATGGTCGGCTCATTATACGATTTTCGACTGGTCCCCGCTCGCACGGGCCGCGGCGGGAGGTCCCGCCGTCTCGATTTATCGCGCGCGCGCGCATACCATACCCGAGCGCGTTTACGTAAAAACATTCGTATTACGTACACCGCGTGTGATACGCGCACGAAACGTAATCATTTCGTTTGTGCTGCACGCTGTAATAATCGTGACCAGATATTATATTCGTTTCGTGTTACGATTACGGTTTTTTTTTTTTTTTTTTTTCTTATTATTTACCGCGCGTTTCGGACGGGCTAAATGTGATTGGACGCCGAGCGGAGTCGTATCGCGTTTCCGCGCACCCCCGACCAGATGTCGCGTTTATCACGAGCTTCGCGATAAGTAGAGTTGTTAGGATGTTGATGATCTAAAAAACGCACACACAAATGCCCTGAAAACTTGAAAAAATTACCTTGATAATTTAAATTATGCACTATAAATTATAATATTAATAAACAATAGTATACATTTACATTTTAAGCATTGCATAAAATTATTAATTATTCAGTTTGCCCATATTAAATGCCCCCCGTATTGTACAAAAACTACGAAAAAAGATCTAAAAGATGAGAAATTGACAGAAAAATTTTGAAAAATGACGTTAAAAAACACAAAAAATGCATTTATAGCTATAAATGCTTAAAAATGCAAAATAAAATTAGAATATTCTGCATCAAAGGAGCACGAAACAAACTTTTAGCTAGGACAGCATTGTACAGAATCAAAGGGAAAAAAATGCAAAAGTCATCAACATCCTAACTCTTGTGATAAGCGAAGTCACCACGTGTGAAAAGTTACGAGTTTCAATTGAATCCGTCGCGCAAATCGAAGAACATACGAACCTGTATAAAATAAAAAACTCAACCCTTCGGATTTACTCGAATGACTGTTGAAAAACGATTTTCCGTGGTAGCGAGGTATCACGATTTTGATCATTATGTAATTTTACGCGTTACTCGGAGTAAGTCGTCCAAAAAATTTAAAGTAGCGAATACACGAGCAGTAGGTACGTATTGTGTAAGCGCGACAAGAATAGAAAAAATACACGTGCGCGCGCGAGCTTAATAAATAGAAAATATTTTCGGACCACGACGATAATTACCTTGGACGCTGGCCAGAGTGATAGCGGGTAAGAAACAGTGCAACCTGAAAAAAAAAATCAAAAACATTAGTCTCCCCTACAAGTTCCACGCACATGCATGGTTGTGCGTGTGTACGGATAACAATTATTGAACATAGTTTTGGCCCGGTTGCAGGCCTATTGCTATGAATATACGTACAAAACAAGATTATATATAGTATATACACCTACAGATAAAATGTAATTGCACGCTTTTACATTTATATACGTATACCATACATACACGTCGCTTTGGAGCTGGTTAAGGTTATACGAGCACCGATTCGCTGGCGACCATTATCGTAATGAAATAGGGTGCGAGAATATAATATGTGTTTACGGTACCATCGACATGTGCTTCTGTGATCGTTTGCTGCGAAGTGCCGTGAGATCTTTTTTATATTTTTCAAAACGATATAAGTGCTTGTATACTCGACTAGGTCGAAAAAAATAAATATCATTTTTACGTATCCGTTGTCTCACGAATTTATTCATGGGCACATTTAGGGAAGGATTCCCGGGTCTTGTCTCTCTTGAGTATCAAAAAAAAAAAAAAAAAATTATATTTACGCCCGAATGAAAATGTATTATAATTTATAATGATATAATATTTATATTTACAGGATTCCAGAACAAAAATGTAAAGAAAATAATGAATGATTTACTATGTAGGTACAGTGATAATATTTATTTATATTTTACGTTACACGTTTACATATATTTACATCATGTTAACATTATTGCAATTAAAATGTATGTGTTCTGATTCAAAAATTATGGTAAAAAGATTTTTATTTGTTATCGTCGTTACGGTTCTATTCTAATAAAACGATGTTTAACTATAATATAATTAACTTTTTAAAAAACGTAAGTCTTCTAGAAAAAAATTGAAAGTATGCTATTGTATTTATTTATACGTGTTAAATGGAACCATCTTATAGATAGACATAGAATGTGGTTTTATTACATAAATTATGTTTTTAATTTAGGTACTGCAGGATAATCAGAAAATTTATTTTATGTATGATAATCCTTATATCTTTTTATGATTATCCGTCAATAATTTTATACTATTTTGGTAAATGTACATACATTATACATTACGCCCTACGGACCTCACGCGTCATATAAATATTTATAGGCTTTGAACGACATAAATCATCGTAATGAGAAATCGTCGCCACTGTATATTATATATTAGTCAATAAATAAATCACAAATATACACACACACACACACATGAATATATATATACATACATTATACTATATATAGCTACCTATAAGTATATATACCTTGTATTAAGGTTAAGTCTCCTTTGCAGGTTATAAATATGTACAGGTACACTTATAGATATATACTTGTATAATAAATATATTATTATGGTGTAAAGGTCCAATGATTTACATAAATAGTGAATTTGTACATGCGCAGTTATTGTTATGTATGTACGAATGGCCGTCCTCGTCATCACGTTACGACAAGTCATATGAATAATATAAACTGCAATAATACATTCGCTCAACATCGTATAACTTAAATATTTACGTAGATGATAAGCTCGTGCCTAGGGCAAATAGTTTTGTCACCCGTAGAATAAAGCATTTTTTTAAAATGGTAACGATTGTCCCCAGTGTACCCTACATACCAGTGCGTATTATATCGTACAATAATGTTTTTTATTATACAATACAGCGTGTATATGTCTATATATTTTTTATTATCGCATACGTCATTACGGGTCCGACTGCACGGTTACCATATACCTATATAGTATTGTTAGCTATAACTTTTACGAATTATTATGTTAATGTGATGTTATCATAGGACGCTGGCAATTTTGGAGCTCGTAGTGTACAGTAAATCTAACCAATATGAACACGAAACTACTTTTTTTTTGAAACGGATTATCTCGGTAACTACCCGACATCGTGTGCTCCGGCCGAAACCGGAACGGGAGAAAATAAATATGTATAAATATAATTCACAAGACGACGGGGACGGCACATTATATGCATATAGCGTATAGTATTATGCATGCGGCTGTTGGTGGACACGTGCGTCCGTCGGCCATAACCAAAAGGCTTGCCGCTGTTACACTCGTTCAACTTCATTCAATCTGTATTCACATGTGCCCGAAACGTGCTCCGATTAGCTCGCGTCCGGTACCGCACACTGTATATAAATATCCATGTACAATCGGTAAAACACTGAAACGCGTATATTGCATACGCTGAAATAAATATATCGTCAACGTTTCTTATGTGTAAGTATAAAACAATATATTCTTGCACGCGCCGTCGGGCGTTAGTTGTATAATATATATATATATATATGATATATTGCGCAGACGGTATTGCCAAACCCATCATTCTACACGTATACCGCGACAAAAATTACGACTTTTCATATTTCAACACCATATAATATCTAGGTATGTGTATAATACACATATACAGGACGCAACATGGACTGTATTATTTATGGGGAAAAGATGAACTCCTATGTACAGAAATAGGTGATCTCCGTGGACATAGTGTTAACTCGAACAAAATATTTACTAAATTAAAAATTGTATGGATTATGTTGAATTCCGGACAAAAAATGAGCGATTATTATCGTACACTATCTTAATGTGATACAGATAGTCAAATTTAGATTTGGTTATCAAAGCGTTCAAGTGTCATATTTTTTGTTGACATTTCGAATCGAAAACTATCAAATAATGACACACTAATAAACGGAAAATAATAGTGTTATAATAATAATAGGTTATAAGAAATATAATATTTATAAATAATATATATGTACTGTTTCATACACGTAGTTTTATATTTATCAAACAGTACCTACATAAAATATGGGCATTTGGCATTTCATAATATAGGTACATGAACTTTTTTTTAATAAATCAATAGTCATTTATAAGTTGCGTAAAAATAATAGAGTATAGGGGATTATATCTTTTCATGTGGTTAGATAGAAAGGGCAGCATAGAAAATAACATTTAGCCAATTTAAGTCTGGTATAGGCAATTTCATCGTATAAATTATAGATAACTACATTTATACACATATGCATTGGTACTAAAATTAAAATATGATGTAATACTACAGTATGAGCTGAAAGTGGTTTATACGTAGATATTGGTGATTCTGATTGTATATTATTTTTATTTTTGTATAAAAATGTGGAATTTATTTTGATGATTTTGATTTTCGATTATATCATACATATGAGCTTTTGAAATATCAAAAAATTCGTTTGTAACATGGTATAAATAATTTGAACTACATAATATACTAAAAAAAAATCTTTTTATTATACATTTTTTTTTAAATTTAATTCGAGTTCTGAAGTTCATTTTAATAAAAATCGTATATCAATAATCGCATCCACGTATATAACTATAATATGTGTTTAAAATGATGATGTTTTCTAAACATTAAAAACGCTATAGATTATTACTGATTATACTTATTTCACAATAAAAACTCACTAATTAAAAATAAATATTCAGTTTAACAATTACGAGTACATTCGTTTTGTACAACTAATGGTCGATATGCACAACACGAAATTAATCTTTGATAATTATAATTCGACCCTTTCCACAAGACAAATACAAAAACAGTCGTTCTATTTTTTAGAATAATTTTATTGCTATGAATATACGTGCGCCATCATATAATAACGAGCGGCATAATAATATACGATCGTCTTGGCCCTTGGGTAAAGTTAAAATATTTTAACGTTGTAAAACAACATAACAAAAATAATAATAATACAGTGTTTATTTGTCGTCGAATCAAATTATGTATGTGTGTTTCATCACCACGTTTTATTTTGTATACTAGACTGTGGAACGCGCGTCGTTACAATTAAAGTAACACAATCTCACACATTGTATTGTAGCTTGTAAAATATATAATAACGATTGGTATTTGAACAATAAAAAAGTTTGAAACGGTATAAGTACTTTTTTATAATATATTTAAATATATGTACATCAGAACTTTTACCAGTTTTACTAACGAATTTTCGATTTTTTTTTTATTACACTGATGTATATTGTTGCAGGGAGAACTTTTTGTCTGCAGTATACTTTTTGGGGTAAGTTATAACTTCTATGTCGTACATTTTAAACTATTCAGATTTTTATTTGTCCGGTAACAATATAATGAACAACAATTTTGTATAAGTTTGAAAGAATTTATTTATAGGTACTTGTATAAATTTAAAAATCAATATAATTTTAATAATTTATTATTATATCAACTTGCATATTAATTCTACTTTGTGTGAATTACGGAATTCAAACAGATATTTAAATGGATCCATAAATGTATTGAATACATTTCTACGAAAAAGTATGAATATATTTTATTAATTAGTCACGTGAAGTCGTGTAGGTATTTTATTTTGTACTATGTGCGTTCGTGAAATATAGGATTGTATATGAAATCTAAAATGTGTAAATACAACAAAAATATCAATATGGTTCGAATAAGAAAATGTATCGTTATCGTTACACGACTGTCTTATCAACTATAGATATATTTTTTTATCTCCTAAATTATTCGAGAGCTATGGAGATAATACGGATTGAAATCGATACATGTGTCAAGTTCTAATCGCTTATTCGTGGATAAAATAGATAGTAAATAAATTATCATGGAAAGTTACACACGACGACTACATGCGGTCGATATAGTAGGGGAACACATTATCAGTGATTTATATTGGCCCAACATCTCTATAAAAATTGTTCTTCGTTTTTCCCCAATGACCCTATATCTATGAACGAAAAAGGGCGGTAAACAACGATATACTTCTAAACACTGTTCATTTTCCTTTTATCTGCCTTCAAAACATGTTTTTTTCATTAATGCGCATTTGTAATATATTATTCAATAGATACATGGTATAATATTTTTTGACAAACACGCGCCCACATGTGTAAGCTTATATATTATAATTATCATTAAAGCCTATGTTATACATGCATAGCCTACATTATACATACACAAAGAATATATCTTTATAACCTTTTTTTTTTTTTACTATTTTAGATATGGGGGGTTGATTTTTTGTTTTTACGCGTTTTAAGGACGCACGTCTGTACTTCATTACCGAAATCGTATCTATTATTATTTAGGAGGAGATTTCAGTGTGAGAGGACTGACTTGACGCTATACTGCACACGGCTCCTACACACTCGTACCCAACGCTAACGATTATATTTATAAGAAAAACGTGCGTTCCTTGCACCAGACACATAAATTATAAGAAACTCGCATAAACAACTCGGGAGAGGGAGGAAACGCGTATATTTGTTTTCAACCGTACGATGTATTTAAATTTCCGATAACAATCTTCGAAAACCGGTCTCGTTGTAAAAATAGATTTATTTACATAGGTACATTATTATGTAAAATTATATTATTTGGTGGAAACAAAATTCTTCTTGTCCATGGTGCATGCAAACATATAATTTCGTGTACTGCATGTATACCGGTATATAGTCATTTAATTTTTCGATTGCAGTGTATATTATAATATATTATATGATTAAATATTTTGGCTAGAAACGCAATTAAATTTTGTACGTATTAAATTAATTGGATAATTATATATATGAAAATTTTACACTTTAAATATATTATAATATATATATTATATATATTATAATTATATTAGAGTATAATTATATTATAATTAATAATATTATATTATATATATTTGCATATATGCAACAAAAGAAAATCGTTTTAAAATATTGTTCGGCATGAATAGATAATATTAGGTTATCACCGTTACACACTCATAAAAAAAAAAAAAAAAAATGTAAAAGAAAACCACAAACGAGCATTACCTGTTGGGAAAATAACCTGATTGAAATTGGGAGTCCACGATTAGGCGTTTACATTGGCTTCTTGCAGGAATTCGTGACGTTCGATCGTTTCGGCTTCACACGGTGTTCCCGGTGACGATGCAATGATTCAGCTTCTCGTTAAGTCTTCGCCGTGTCTAAAACAAACATTGCAGTTGGAATTAAATTTTTTTATATACATATAAATATAAACATTGTACAGACACACACACACACACACACACATACACAGTGACATTGATCAAATATACGTATACGTACGAATAGAACACGCTGCAACGTTGCGCATACAAATAGGGATGAATCTTTTCACGTACCCCCGTATATACATAACACGTATATATATATACATATATATATATATATGGGGAAGTTTAATTTCCTGTGTGCTGCGCAAGGGTCGAAAATCGCGAAGACCCGTACGCGCACTCCGGAACTCTCGACGGCAACACTCCCCGCCACTGCAGTAACTAATTTTATCGCTCGACTCGAGAGTAAATTTTAATTTCGAGAATGACGCCGGAGGAACGCCGCGGTTTTACCGGAAAGCCCATCAGTTAATCTCTCGCGGGAAACGCGCACAATGGGAACACATTCCCGGGACCGAGCACTAATTAAAAACTAACCCCTTCACAACTGCGCGCATACCGTACGCGCGCGCAGATACGTACCCGTGTACAATAGATTTGCTTATTGCATTACATTTAACTGTGCCGCAGCAGCTCACGTGTATCTTTACAACGCGTACAATCAATTTCCCAGGCCATAGGTTGTTACCGGCCTTTATACCGGAAACCGGTTACTCGGCACTGTGTTGCGTACGTAAACGTGCGTGTAGACCGCGCGTCTACGCGAGCATTGAGATAACGATTACTGCTCTTGTGATCGTTACCTACCAGATAGTGTACGGCGATAATATTCGTAAACCGTATGACCCGTGCGCGGTCTCGATCAGACGTACACGGGTACACGTCGTACGCTATCCGGAAAACTCTGTCAAACAAGCTTTGTACGTAGGCACATACATAATACGCATATATTATACGTTCCATATGAACCCTGAACACGCATACATGTACGATAGTAATCCGGAGCTTCGTGTGCGGTCCATCTTACGACCACCTCTTCGTCACTCCGTTAGCCGGCTGCTGCAGCACTTCTATCAACGACACCGATGATGTGTACCACTGGATCGTCCCGCGCATATGTAATCATCTCTGACGTCCATGATGTATGCGTATAATGTGTGTGTATACGTGTGTGGATATCTTCTGTTGTAAGGGTCTCTCGGTAGTAATTATAAATAAATGTATACGGAACACGTGCGTTATATCGTCTCCGAACTCCGACGAAAACCCATGTAACAAAAAAACAAACTACATCCAATCTTCGCGGTAGACCCGTGTTCACGAAAAACTTCATATTCCAATAGTTATAGTTTCCCGTACGAGGGAGAATTCGATGGTTTCAAATTTTACTGTATTCCATGCGTTGACTGATGTACGCGTGACGATTGATAACAGCGTTTTCGACCGAGACGAAATTGATGATAGCACGTGTATAATATAGAATAAGTGCATACACACACAAGTATATAGAAGTACGTATACCTATGTGTATTTAATGTTGACGCGAAGGAAGGTCAGTGAAAAGCCGTACCCGGCGATGAAATGAAATTTCGAGTGGAAGTATGCCTTCACCAAAACATTTGGAAACGTTTAACATAAACCTCCATGTACAACTACGAAGACCCGATGACGTTTCCCGGACGTTAAAAACTCAAGTATGGTCTATAAACACACAGCAGCATATTCTATGGTCTAGACGCCATTTTCCTTAAAATATACCTAGAAGAATTTATTTATACGTTTTATAAAAATAAACCATGAACGTATGGTGTACAAGGGATTCTGAAATAAACATGTACAGCGCATATACATATCAGCAGGAAATCTTTTCGGATCGAAGTCTAGATGCGTTTACGGAAAAAACGAATTTCTTGCCGTTCATCTTAATAAATACGATACATATCATTTGAACGATAATGGCAATTTAGAGTAGAATCTTTTAACTATGCTGTTATGATGTCGTACATTTATTTAATTACGTAAATATTATAGTGTACATAACTTCATCGGTCGGCCATATTTATACTATCATACCGAGGATATTAAAAACGTTTGATCATTATTTATTTTTTTCGTAATTATATATTGTGTTTAAATAGATAAAAATTCTCATTCGAATAAAACTCAAATATTCGTATAGATATGATAACTTCTATCTACTTCATATTCGAGCAATCGTGGCTATATACATATATGTATATAAACGTATTATTATATAAAATACTTATATATTACAAATATAGTTTAACTGCTACAGAATACAATAATATGTTGTTATAATATTTTACCCGAGTTAAATAAATAATGAAATATATTTAGATGCATGTAGTAGTAAAATAAATTTCTTTTTTTACTATTGTACTCAATAGTAATAGCAGAACTTTGTATAATAAATCGTTTATTGAGTACTATGATTTGTTCGACGATAATAGACATAGGAATATTTATAAGTATATTTCGTTGACATGCAGATTAATTAAAAACAATATTTGCGGTCCAAAAGTTTATAAATATTTTACAATGAAACACTACAGATTTATTTTATTTTTTTGTTATCACCCACTGTTGAAATAAACGTACATCAATGCATAAGACCTTAAAAATTATTATAAATATAAATATATATAATAAGCGCGGTAAAATTTTGTCAGCTAGATGCTGGATAACATCACGGATGGCAGCAATACACAAAAGGTAAAAAAGTATACGTGTGAACTAAACATGCATAAAACGTGCGCGATTTACGACCATAATTGAATGTCCACCTTACGCATAAAGCTCTTCATCTTCAGTCGTATAGTTTATGATAAATAATTATACACTAGTAGTCGCTTTTATCGCGAGATGCTGGACGTTCGGAGCATTGCTATTGGTGTACAATAGGTACACAATTCGCAATCATGCACGTATATATGTATATATGTAAATATATTATATACCCTACATTAGGTATGCGTGTATACGTGCGTAAAACGTTACGATAAAAACCGGGTTACTGTCCTGCAGCTCGCGACGCAGGCAACGGCAGTCATCGTCGTGCGGACGAACCGTAAAACCCGTTTAAGGTCGGTGTAATTATGTAAACGCCGCGCAGAGGCAGCAATCTCATCGGGATTTAACCGAATCCTATCCGACTTATAGGCATAGGAGTCGGATTAATGTGTGCGTGCGTGTGTGTCTACGCAGGATTACGCGTCCAATTAATTTCGGAAGGAAAAGCTGAGGGGAACAAAAAACGGTGGAGCGAGCGACGCTAGATCATCCGATTTCTCAAAAGTACATTTACCCACTACATCACGGCGTACTGCGTGCGCCCCCCCCCCCCCCCATCGTTATCTCTTCGACCCTTACGTACGTCCGCGACCGTTTCCGTACCACGAGAGAGAGAGAGAGAGAGAGAGACCATAATTTAATAGGACGAAACGAGTACACATATGTATACGTACTCGTACGTCACGCGGCGCACCGTCCGCCTAACGACCAATGGCGTCGGCTATGGGTGTCGCCCCGGGCAATGGCCGCCGAACCGCTCCTCACGTCCTGCCACCCGCGAGTCATCCGCACCACAACGCACTGACGCGGATTCCAGACGGTGCCTGGCGGAACGTCACCGCCGTGTTCGAGCGAACCGATTTACTCTCCGGTTATTTTGCCTCCAAAAACGAAATTTTTTTTCCTCTCTCGCCCTCCACGTTGTATCGATCTCTGTTCCTTTCTCGTACGTCCCACGATGTTTTGCGCACGGCCCACGCACCGCGAACGTCCGCGCAACTATATCTGTACCGCACTACGTGCGATCGGCCGCGTACCGTACGCATAGGCAAGTGCGGAACCAGGCATTTTTGCGCCCAAGGAAAATCAAATACTCTTCCCTACGATTATTTTCTAATAATAACCATACAATCGTACTTATTGAGTTTTAAACAAATCATCATTGAAAAAAGTTATAAATATTAAACTAATAGTCAATTATAGATTATATATTACAAAAATTACACGTTCAAAAATGTTACGCCCTGATATGAATTCCGGCCTTCCTCTTAGTTCCGCCAATGCGTATAGGTGCACGGTTTAGACGATGTTTTAGCGTCTGCACGAGCAGAACGAACAGGAAATGCGAACGCTTTACAATCGCAGTACAATACAAAGCTCTGCGGAATTCACTTTTGAAAGGAAACGCGAAATTTACGGAACCGAACACAATAATAGCTCCTATATATGTGCAATTTAATAAGTGCTTGTCGAAAGAAATTATAAAACCTAGCAATAAAAAGTTATCCATACCGAGAAAAATGTTCTGCCCTGTTATATTTAGCGTACACTACGCATGATCAACATAAGGCACTATCGTTATCGACTGCATGTTTTAAAGTTTTTACTAGTTTCTCAAAATAAATAGTGAACAATTACAAATTATTGCATTATATATATATATTATTATTATTATTATTATTATTATTGTTATTACATATCCTTAATTACACAAGGAACAGAGTAAAACTAATTTTTCGACTTACAACATATACATTACACAGCCAAGGACCTATTGGGTTATTTTTGGATCAAATTCGCGAATGTAATCATTTTAAAAAACGTATACACAGTTATTTAAGTTGTAACTATAACATTAGGAAAATCGTACATGAAAAATTAATGCATTTCACAAATCCATAATATAAAATACAAGTCTTTCAAAATCAAATATTTGGTAGTTCATATATTTTCGAAAATTCTGCGAATAAATAATAATTTGTATGACATAGGTATAGTTTTTATAGTATCGTATATCAAAATATAAATAATAATTTAAACAATAACATGAAAAACATTTAGGAAAATAAGAAGATAAATGTATCGGTCTATAATTAGTTGTATTATATATATATATATATATACACAGTAGATTCTTCTTAAGTGAAATCTCAACGAAAACAGAAAAGAGTTCGAGGTATAATTTTTTATTAAAATTTAAAAAAGATATTGAAAAATTGAGTACCTAAATAATTTTA